TTACTCTTGACTCATCCTCCAAGATGCAGCTCAACCAGCCTACTTACTACTCCTGCACATGAAATTCCAAGTCCCGTGCCCTTTGCATTCAGTAAATCCCATGCCTAGAACATTCTCGCCCTCACCTCTGTCTCCTGGCTTCCCAGACTTCCTTCAAGAATCAGCTTAAATTCTACCTTCAACAAGAGCCTTTCCCAGGCCTCATCTACCAGTCACCACCACCACTGGTTCCTTCCCATTCATTCTGCATACATGTTAGCATGTTGGCTCCCCCATTAAAATGTGAGCTCCTTGAGGGCAGGGACCATGCTTTTCCCTTTCTCTGCATCCTCAGGCTTAGCACAGGCCTGGCACATAGTAGGTACTTAATACATGTTAACAAAATGACCTCTAAAATAGGGATAATTGTACTAAATACCTCAGGGCTCTTTTAAGGCTCAAATGAAGCACTGTATATAATGTATTTTACAACCCCCTTCTCTTTTTAAAAATATAGTCCAGACAGTGACTTCATGGGATGGAGAGCTCCAGGTTAATAATTCTCTCTACCAGCTTAGCAGCTTCTCTGCCACTTAGAGATTTTCCAGGGGGAACTGAATGGTTATCATGGCATAGTGGATAGGCTGCTAGACTTGGAATTAGGAAGACCTGGGTCACATAGCCTTAAGTTATATAAATCAAGGCTTCTTAAACTTTTTCTAATCAGGACCCTTTTTTGCCTGATAAATTTTTACGGGACCCCAGGTATATAAAATAGGTATACAAATAGGTATATAAAATAGGTATACATTTACTGGTAATAAATAATAAAGAAATTTATTTTAAAACAATTCTTTGGTATATATATAATTTTACCATTCATTAAAGACAAAGGCAAATTTGCATGCTAATGAGATAGATGTGCTTGTTTATTTTTACACAAAGAATTAAATCTTGCAGAATATTTGATACTGTAGTACATAGAGCATCTTCAATGTTTTTCAGAGTTGATCAATATTTGATTTTATAATCAATCGTCAATGCTGAGAATGCCACTTTGCATAAAAACATAGTATAAAATAGCAGAAGTATGTTTAGGGCCATTTCAGAAATTGCTGAAAATTCTGTCCTAATCTCAAGCCAAAATGCATTTAACGATTTTGTGTGTACAGTAAAAACACCGTAATTCATAACATACAGTAGTCTCAAATCTGAGCCTGGGTGTTTCTGGCAATGTTCGTTGGCTTTGTGTGGTGTGAAGGCATGTGCAGCACAAAAAGTGTGTGTTGTGTGTTCCAAACCAAGGCTGTAGTGAAGTTGCTCAATGCAATGTGGGCAAGCACTGCCAGAGTTACCTCAGATTCATTACGTGTTTGATTTTTAATTAATTGTTGGTCATTAATTTTGGTCAATTTTTGGTCATTAATTCATTGTGATCAGAAACCTTTTACTGTCACCAAATTTTTCACGACCCCCACATTCATTTATGGGATCACAACCCACAGTTCAAGAAACACTAATATAAATGTTGTTATTAGTATTGTTAAGTTGTTGTTGTTGTTATTGTTATTGTTCTATGACTACCTACAATAGGCCTCAGGCATAGAGACAGAAAGATACTCAGTACCCCCAAGAATCAGGCCGTGTTAGGAAAAGGATCCATGTATATTTCATCCAAGAACCTAAAGATAAATGTGCCCATTGGGTGGGAGACACCAGTGTAGTGGGAAAGGGTCCTGGATTGGAGCCAGAAGTTTGGCCTAAGTCTCAGATCTGCCACTAATCAGCTGTGTGACCTTGGGTAAGTCACTACCTCTTGGAGCCTTACTTTATTGATCTTCAATTAATTAAATATGTGTTTAACCACCTATTATGTGCCAGGCATTGTATACACTCTGTGATCCATGTGAAAAATAAGGATAATGATTGCTTGGGCTTCCTCTGAGGACTGTTATAAGGATCAGTTGATATAATTATGATGGCCAATATTTAAATACCTCTCCCTCTCCAGTGTGCCTCAGTCCTTTAATGTGTTATCTTCTACTATTAGAGTGTAAGCTCCTTGAGGGAAGGAGCTGTCTTTCTATTGTATTTGTATTTCCAGTGCTTAGTTTAGTGCTTGGCACACAGTAGGCCCTTAATAAATCCCAGCTGGCTGACTGACATTCATTAACATTTCATTCTCAACCACCGTGGGGAATGAGCTTCAATCTGGACTCAAAAAGGATCTGAGTTTGAATCTGACTCTTCCCACCTTGGAGAAAGACCTTAACCTCTCTGGGTCTCAGTTTTCCTCATTCTAATCTAAGGTTCTTGTGCTTTCAAAGATGACTTGGAAAGTCTCCCAGCTCTAAATCTATGGCCCTCCATGGATCCATCACTTCCTACTTTGGGCTAGTTTGGGGCTAGTTACAGCAACCTCTCTGAACCTCAGTCTCCTCATATATGATTTATACATAGTTATTTACATAGTCACTTGTTATATTTCCCCCTATTAGACTCTGAGTTTCTTGAGAGCAGGGACTGTCCTTTGCCTTTTTTTTTTTTAATTTTTGTTTGTTTGTTTGGCAAGGCAATTGGGGTTAAGTGACTTGCCCAGGGTCACACAGCTAGTGTCAAGTGTTTGGTCTGAGACTGGATTTGAACTCAGGTCCTCCTGACTCCAGGGCCGGTGCTCTATCTACTGAGCCACTTAGCTGCCCCTTTGCCTTTCTTTGAATCCTCAGAGCTTAGCACAGAGCCTGGCACATAATAGAAACTTAATAAATGCTTACCATCTGGAGATGAGAGGGATAGACTCAGTTTAATATCTCTTCTAATTCTAGATCTATGATCCTACTTAGAGATGAGGAAATGTGCTCTACCAGCTTAAATACCTCACCTATCATCACATAGGTAGTAAGTATCAGAGGTGGCATTCCAATCTAGGTCTTTCTTCCTGGTTCCCAGTCAGGCATTCTGGCTGCTACCCTGCTCTTCTCTAATGTAGAGAAAAGGTTGGTAAGCCTTAAAGCATCATAGAAATGTCAGTTGTTGTTATATTACATCCCTATAGCACTTTATGGTCACAAAGCACTTTCCTCTACATTACTTATTTAAGGCCCACAACAGCCTTGTGAGGGATGCTGGGTGGGGATTATTTGTCCCTATTTTACAAAGGAGGTTAATGCTTCTCTCTTTAGTCAATAAAGGCTTTCTGGAGGTGGTAGAATTCAGGGCAGGAAGGTTGAGGATATAGAAGGAGGAGGATAACGCTTGCATTAATTGCCAACAATGAGATGAGTTCCAATGGAATGAGCTTGACTACACAGCTCTTCAGATTCTTGAAAATAATAAAATCCTCTCCATCCGCTCTAATGTCCTAAAAGTAACAATAGTTATCCTCCCTACCCCAGTGGAGGAGCTAGAAAACTTAAGTGCCTGTGGTTGAACTCAGGCATTTAAATAGGCTGGTTGATGAAGAATACTCCCTACTCTGCTTCTGCCATTACCTTGGCCAACTAGAGGAGGGAGCATGGTAAGAGTGTTGAACTTGGAATCATGGGAACTGAGTTTAAATTCTAACTCTGACATTTGCTACTTTTTCAATGTTGGACAAGTCACCTAACCTCTCTGGGCCTCAGTTTCCTAATATGTACAAGGAGAGGCTTTGACCAGAAGGCCTATAACATCCCTTTAGGTTCTAAATCTGTGATCTTATCACCCTAAGTCCCTTCCCCTCTCTGGGTGTTAAGTTCCTTAACTGTAAAATTAGGAGGTTGGACTGGGTAATCTCTACCGTCCCTCCCAAACCCACAACTCTGCCTTTCCTGACATATTCTGACGTTTTCTACCTCTCTGGTAGAAAAGTAAATCATGGTTCTAAGCAGGAAGTATTTTCCATCCAAGTTTGCTGTGAATGAAAAACTAGCAGTGCTTGTCAGCTGGCCTCTAGAGTCATAAAGATTGCCCAGGGCTGTGTTGTCTTTGTGGGTGGGTTGTCCCAACCACCCTCAATGGTTTTTCAGGAAGTGCTGAAAGCAAGAATTCACTTTGCACATTATTTCCCCCACAGAACGTAAGCTCCTTGAGGGCAGGGAATGTGTTATGTTTGTATTCCTAATGCCTAACACTGTGTCTGGCATATGCCCAGTAAGTCAAACTACCACAACCTCCACTCACACCCTGATGGAGAAAGCTCAGGAGCCTAATTCCCAAAACCCTCCAAATCATTGTCCCTGCTTCCTTCCTGGTCTCCACAATCGTTATTGCAGGGAGCCACCCCTGTGGAAAAGGGGGTCAGTCATTCTTATGAATTGCTATCAATAGGTTAACCGGGAATGACATTAAAGAAGATGCATTGACATCTGCTTTGCTTCTCTACACTAAGGACCGTAGGGCCTTTCCATCTGGCTTGCAACTGAATTATCCTATATGTGTTGTCTCCTCCAATTAGAATTTGAGCTCTTTGAGGACAAGGCTTGTCTTGCTTTTGCATTTGTAACCCTAGGCTTAGCTTACTGCTTTGGATGTGGTAAGTACTAAATAAATGCTATTTTCATATTTTCAAGAATCTTTGCTGGCTTACATGCTCAACTGATTGATTGGTTGAAGGGAACAGGTCCTTAAGAAGACAAGGTTTGATGGAAAGATCCCTGGCCTGGGAGTCAGGAGATCTTCTTTTAAGTCACTTTCCCCCTCTGGACCTGATTTTCCTCTTTTGTCTCATAAGTTGCTTCCTGATCATCTACAATCCCTTAATCTTTGAGTTTGAAAGGGAGGGTTCTCTGTCCCACTGAAAGTATTTTTTTTTTAAATCCAAGGTCTCCAACATTCATTCTTTTATATTGTGGTGGTGTGTTCCTGGATATGGGACTTGTAAGGACCTTGGAGAGAGATCATTGCAACCTACCTTTTCATTTTACAGAGGAAGAAGGTGAAGCCCAGAGAAAGAAAGTGATTTCTCTCATTGTTCCTTTGGCTGCAAAGGGGAATGGATGCTATCAAACTCAATTCTCCCTCTGTGTATCACTGCCTTCCAGAATGTGTATTACACGAGCAGTCAGCAGCTCCAGCTAGGCGTCCTGAGTCCCACTGTCGATGATGACGACAACAGGTGCCTGGTGGATGTGAACAGTCGGCCACGGCTCATCGAATGCAGTTATGCCAAAGCCAAAAGAATGAAGCTTCACTGGCACTTTTCTCAGGTAATATCCCTTCCCAACCACTGCCCTTGACGTATCCTAGGTTCTTTGGGAACTGAGTTTCACCCCCTGACCAACAGGACACCTAAGTACATCCAAGCTGGTCGATACTCTTGGCCCCTTCTCAGAGCCCCAGAGAATGAAAAGACTTACCCAGGAAGACTAGAAGGGGAATAGGCATGGGAGGTTATACAATGGTGGTCCTCGGCATGAGGTTTAACGGACTGGCCAAATGAGTGATTATATGGCAACCCAGCAACTCCATTAGAGAGAAAAAAGGAGAAAGCCCATGCCTAAGATTTATATGTTAAAAATTAATTTATTATCAGATAGTCTTTACTGCTGTCCAGAGGCCAGTACACCACCCCAGAAAGGGGGTGCTGTGGTCCCCCAGTTTGCCTCCAGATTGTGGTTATGATGTGACAGCTTCCCCTCCTTTCTCCTTTGTGCAAGATAAGTGCCATCTCTCACCTATGTTAGGCTTCTTCCTTCCTTTCAGTGTTTCCAAGATAGTACTAGTGGGAAATGAGGTATCATCTATTACCTTCAACCAAATCTACACTTTGGGATCTTTGAGAAAAGTAATTTGTTGAGTGGCATGAGATTGTCAAACTCAAACATTCCCCAGTTTACTCAAGATTGTGTAGCAAAGGAGTTTTGGACGATCTTAGCTATGAACCATTTGGGTCCAGGTGGACACATCTTATGTAATTGTCATTGGAGACACAGGGGAAGACCTTCTCAGCTGGTTTTTGGAGTGAAAGAGAAAATAAGAAATAATAATACGTACCATTTAAATAATGGTTCAAGTTTTACAAAGTGCTTTTCATGTTATCTCACTTGATCCCAAACAGCCTAGTGAGGTAGATGCTCTTATTATCTCCATTTTACAGATGGGAAAACAGAGGCAGAGAGAGATGAAATGTCTTGGCCAAGATTACATTATTAAGTGTCTGAAGGAGGCTTTGAACTCCGGCTTCCTGACTCTATGCCACCTAGTCATCCCAACAAACAAATAAAATGGTATAGTTATACAGGACAGTTGCCAGTTGTAAATTTCCTGGTTAGTGCCAATAGGATCCTCAAGAAAAGATCCAAAGCCTTAGAGAGAAGTTGATGGTTTTTCTTCCCTTGAGAGTCTCTATATGAATGCTAACTCAGAGTCTCTAAGGCACAGGGAATAAACCGCTAATGCACAAAGATCCTAACAAGAGGAGAAAGGCCTTCATTATTAATATAGCGACATCTAAATGCATGTAGGCATGTATATATTTTCTAGCAAGGAAGATCAATTCATTTACATTCCAGAGAGTGAGGAAGGAAGCACTTGCACTTTCAAATTGTAAGAAGTGAAACCATATCCTTATATACATAATGAAAAGGGTCAAAGAAACCGCAACCCAGACATTATGGTTTAAGGGACCCTACAGCAATGCTCCTGTATTTAGTTTTTCTTTACCAACACAACAGATAAAGGATTCTTAACTCTTTTTGGTTTTTGTATTCCTTTGGCAGTCCATGGACCCCTTCCCAGAATAAAAATTTTAAATGTAAAAATAAAATAATACAAGATATATAGTAAAGGAAACCAATTTTTAGTGAAAATAAAAATGTAGTTTTTCCCATCTAAGTTCATGGACCCCTTGAAACCTATCCACAGACACTCTTGGGAGTCCATGGACCCCAGGTTAAGAACCTGGATTATCCTTGGGCCTGTATTTCATGGTGTGTGTGTCCAAAGCCTGATGGGAGTGGCTGGATCAGGAAGCTTGGCAAACCTTGATCATAGTTATCTGGGGACATTACCGCCAAGAAGAGGCAGGGGACACCTGCCCCCAATCCCCCCCCCAAATAAACAAAAACAAACAAGCATACAAACCAATTAGTGTCAGTTAAGAATTATAGAATCAAGTCGAGTCAGATAAACAACGAGCTCCCTAATACATCAACTTTGACTTCCTAATCCCCTTGGCATTCCCTTGGGTCTGAATAACACCACCACCACCACCACCACCACCACCACCACCACCATCACCATTACCACCACCACCACCACCACCACCATCACCATCACCACCACCACCACCACCACCATCACCATCACCATCACCACCACCGCCATCATCAGCCCATCACCATCACCACCACCCCTTGCACCTATTCTTCCTTCCCATCTTAGCCCAAGGATCTTGGTATGTTGCAGATGACCAGGTACAAACCTTGCCTAGATTTTCAGCACATCTTACTGTCCACCTAACACTGCCTCCTCTGCTCCAGATAGAGATGCCCTTCCCCTTCCCCAAGGGACTGCCTAACCATCAATATCTTCCAGCCTTTTCCAGGCAAGACATGATCCATGGCCCAAACTCCAATGGTCCTGTGGGCTCGGGTTTCTTCCTGATTGAGTCACATGAACATAAGCAGCCTGCATCTCCTTCCTGCTGGATCAAAGGACTTACAACTATAAATTCTTAATTTTCTAGATGAAAATTGGCAAAGCAAGGATATGAACTCATGTTCTATGATGCTGAGGTCAGGGTTTTTCCTCTCTATATGTGAGCCTGTTCACTTAGACCATCCAAAGTGCCAGGCAGAACCATCAGGTTGTACATGTGAGATTCCAAATGCACAAACCTGTAGGCTTGGGAGCAATGTTACCATTGACTGAAATATCTCAGACCAGGGAATCCATTGCTCTCTTATTTCTGTCCTAGAACCTCAGAAAGTATCCAGTGAAGGTGGTATCTGAACAGGAATCCCTCCTACAATAGTCTTGTCAAGTAGTCATCTGGTCTTTGCTTGAATGGAAATAGAATGATACAATGGAAAAACCCTGACTGGGGTCAAAGGACCTGGCTTCAAATCCTACCTTTGAGCACTGGATTTGAAGTCACAGGACCTGAGTTCAAACTACAGCTTTGAGTCTTTCTTCCTTTATGACCTTGGGCAAGTCACTTAGTCACAAGGCAAGTCATGACCTTGGGCAAGTCACAAGGACTCAGTTTCATCATCTGAAAGATGAGGGGGTTGGGCTAGATGGCTTCTGAGGTCACTTCCAACTCTATGTCTATGGTCCCTGGGTTTCTAGTGCTGGGAAATCCTATTCTATATTCTTGGACAGCTCTAGTTGTTAGTATGTTTTTTTTTCTTTTATTGAGCCCAAATCTACTTCTAGAATCATTTATACAGACCAGAAAGGAATTTTAGAGGTTATCTAGTTCAGCCCTTCATTTTACAGAAGGTAAAACTGAAGTCCAGAGAGTGATTTGCCCAAGATCACATAGCAAGGAAAGGATAGGATTTGAACCCAAGTCCTGCCAACCGTAAATCCAGTGCTTTCCCTCCCATGGTAACATGTTGCTTATCTATAGTTTCTAATCATTATTTCATCCACGTAAAGACAGATATTTCATCTCCCCAAGGCTTTTCTTTTCCAAGCTAAACATCCCTAGTTGCCTCAACTCCTCTTTCTTTCTATGTCATAGGATATGTGCTGCTGTTTAAGGGTCAGAAGACCCACAACATGTTTGGTGCCAGACAGAACATGATGAACATAGACACAAAATACCATGTAATTATAGAACTGGGGGTGCAGAGGATATCTCATCCATCCCTCTCCTTCCAGGCCAAACAACCCTTCTAATGTATTCCAGATAAACAGGAATATCTCCAGTGTGGAAAGGCTGCTTGAAGAGGGCTTTTCACATCCTTCTCTTGAGTTCCCCATACATAGTGTCCCACCTCTGGCAAGTGCCAGGACTATAAATCCAGATACAAACACACATACAAAACTTATACATAGATTTCTATTTTAATGTTCTTTCCCCTAATAAAATGTAAGTTCCTCGAAGGTAGAGGCTATTTGATTTTTACCTTTGTATTCCTAGTGCCTAAGGCAGGGTCTGATACATAGTAGGTGCTTAATAAAAGCTTGTTGGTGATTGGCTCAATTCTGTTCATCTAAAGACCTACTGAGTGTGTAACACTATGCTAGCAGATGGTAGTCCTCCAAGCCTTTGGACTTAATTATAGTATCATAGGTAGCAGAATGCCCTGGGATGAGCGTAGTAGGACTCAGAGTGAGGAGACTTCGGCTCAAGTCCCAGCTATGATATTTATTACCTGCATGGCCCCACACAAGTTCACTTCCCCTCAATGAATATAATTTTCTTCATCCGGGGATAATAAAATGCTTTGTAACCATTACTATAAAAAAATCAGGGGCTATGTCTTTGTTTCTCTGAGCCCATGAAAGGGGTAGGACAGAATCCCTTGGGCCCTTCTTCTTCCCTGGGCTCCTCAGGTAAGCATATCTGTGTCTTTAACTGTATTTAATGGTGCTAATTAGGATGGGCTCACATGCCAAAGCCTGGGGGCCAAGAGTACTGGCCACGTTTTCTTCTGAGGACACTTAAAGACAAAGTCTCAAGTGGCACCTGATCCCCCTGGCATCACTCTAGGGCGCAGGTGGAAGGTTGAAGGGTGTCCATTGCCCTCTGGGCATCTCCAGCCTCCCTGCTCTGGGCAGTATCACTGGAGAGGAACAGAATTCTTTCTAGTTAAGAAAAACAGACATTTCTACTTCCCGGCTGTTGCTAAGGGCAGCAGAACTTCCTGATGTGGGAGATGGGATTTCAGTGGCTGAGCTGATTCCTACCCTGCTGACTCTGTGTATCGAGTTACAGACTCCCTCCCAAAGCTTATGAATTCAGGGATGCTACAGTGAGCTTTTCTCTGTGAAAGCCTATCAGAAATGCCTACTGATGTCTACCAGATCATATCCTCACTGATAGTATTGTCACAGCCTTCTGCAAATTTCCCATGGATTTCCTCAGCCTTTCCAAAATGTTGTTCCCATCTGTTACCTAACATGAGAAAGTAAGCGGGGCCCCAAGCAGGAGGAAAAATGCCAGGCAGCCAGTGTGCTGATGCAAATGTAGCCCTGAGCCCTGCTCGTGGTAGACCATTGCAATCAATCAACGCGCATAAATTAAGCACCTATT